ACGCATCATAAAACTTAAGAATAGAGGTCATATAAAAGTAAATGGGTGGGAAAAAGCATCTCATGTCTATACCAACGCCCGCATCCCCAAAGCTGGTGAGCTATATTAATATCTGAGAAAATAGGCTTGATGGCAAATGTGTTCATGTAAAGATGGTCACCTATATTAAAGGGTTCAATTCATCAAGAAGATATATAAAACTTAAATGTATATGGACATAATAACACAACTTAAAAATATATAAAGCAAAATTTGACAGAAATGTATAAAAAAATAGAAAAATCCATAATCATCATGGAAGAAATTAAGATCCCTGCCTCAGTAATTATTAGAATAAACAGATAGGTAAACAATAAGTACACGCAGGCCGGGTGCGGTGGCTCACGCCTGTAATCCCAGCACTTTAGGAGGCCGAGGCAGGCGCATCACAAGGTCAGGAGTTCGAGACTAGCCTGACCAAGACGGTGAAACCCCGTCTCTACTAAAAACACAGAAAATTAGCTGGGCGTGGTGGCGCATGCCTGTAATCCCAGCTACTCAGGAGGCTGAGGCAGGAGAATTGCCTGAACCCAGGAGGCGGAGGTTGCGGTGAGCTGAGATCGCGCCATTGCACTCCAGCCTGGGTAACAAGAGTGAAACTCCATGTCAAAAAAGAAAAAAAAACACACAAAAAAAATTAGCTGGGCATGGTGCTTGCCTGTAATCCCAGCTACTCTGGAGGCTGAGGCAGGAGAATCACTTGAACCCGGGAGGCGGAGGTTACAGTGAGCCAAGACCATGCCACTGCACTCCAGCCTGGGTGACAAAGCAAGACTTCATCTCAAAAAACAAAACAAAAAACAAACAAACAAACAAAAACCACAATAAGCACAGTAAATGCTGAATAACTGCATTAACACACTGGGTCTAATAGACAAATATAGTCTCCTTTAACAGCACACAATATTTTCAAGCCCAAGCGGGACTTTTATAAACATTAACCATATTCCAAGTCCAAAAAATGTCAAATAATTAAAATCATACAGAGCATATTCTCTGTCCATAATGTGGTTAAGCTAGAAATCAATAGCAAAAAGATAGCTAGAAATCAGTCACATGTTTGAAAATTTACAAACACACTTTTAAATAACCAATTTTGGTCAAACGATAAATAAATCATGATAAAAGTTAGAAAATGCTCTTAAGCCATAATCAAAGTAGTAAATATCAAGTTTGTGGAATGCAACTAAAGCTATACTTAGTGTTTTATATTTCCAAGTGTGTACAGCAGAAGGAAGTAGCTGAAGCTAAGGAACTGAGAAGTTCTATCTCAGGAACTTACAAAAATGGTAAACCACACCCAAATGGAGTAAAAGAAGAAACTAATAAATATAAGGCAGAAACTGAAGAAACGGGGAAAATCACAGATAAACTAGGCCAAAAGTGATGATCTGAAAATACCCATGTAATTCACCAACTTCTGAAAAATCTGTTGAAATGCTTTAGATATTTAAAAATAAAAAAGATTATGTAAATTTTGCATCAATAAATATAAAAATTTAAAATAAAATGAATAAATTCCTGGAAATTTAACAAAATGAATGCAGAAAAAAATAGATTTTTAAAGACACCAAATCAGCAGTGAAAAATCTTTTCCCAAACAGACATTTCCCATCTAAGCACAGATGGCTTCACTGGCAGTTTCTACCAAATGTGCAGGAACAAACAATTAAAACTTTATACAGGCCAGGTGTGGTGGCTCATTCCAGCACTCTGGGAGGCTGAGGCAGTCAGACCACTTGAGGTCAGGAGTTCGAGACCAGCCTGGCCAACATGGTAAAACCCCATCTCTACTAAAAATACAAAAGTTAGCCCAGCATGGTAGCCTGGCGCCATGTCTATGATCCTAGGTACTCGGGAGGGTGAGGCATGAGAATTGCTTGAATCTGGGAGGCAGAGGAGGTTGCAGTGAGCTGAGATCATGCCACTGCACTCCAGCCTGGACAACAGAATGAGACTCTGTCTTAAAACAAACAAACAAACAAACAAACAAACAAAAAACAAAAAAAAACCCAACTTACACAAACTCTTCCAGATAATGGAAAATAGGGCTAGCCAGGCACAGTGGCTTATGCCTGTGATCCCAACACTTTGGGAGTCCAAGGCAGAAGGATTGCTTGACCCCAGGAATTTAAGACTAGCATGGGCAACATGGCAAGACCCCATCTCTACAGAAAAAATTTTAAATTAGTCATGCATGGTGGCACACACCTGTGGCCCCAACTACTCAGGAGGCTGAGGCAGGAGGATCATTTAAGCCTGGGAGATTGAGGCCCATCACCACGCCCGGCCTAGAAAGGAACTTCTTTTTTTTATTTTTATGTATTTATCTTTTTTTAAAGATGGGGTTTTACCATGTTGGTCAGGCTGGTCTTGAACTCCCGACCTCAGGTGATCCACCCACCTTGGCCTCCAAACTGCTTGGATTACAGGCGTGAGCCACCACGCCTGGCCTTGAAAGGAACTTCTTAACAATGAATTGTGTCTATAAAAAGGAAGGAAGGATGCCGGGCACGGTGGCCCAAGCCTGTAATCCCAGCACTTTGGGAAGCCGAGGCAGGTGGATCACAAGGTCAAGAGATCGAGACCATCCTGGTCAACATGGTGAAACCCCGTCTCTACTAAAAATACAAAAAATTAGCTGGGCATGGTGGCGCGTGCCTGTAATCCCAGCTACTCAGAAGGCTGAGGCAGGAGAATTGCCTGAACCCGGGAGGCGGAGGTTGCGGTGAGCCGAGTATCCAGCCTGGGTAACAAGAGTGAAACTCCATCTAAAAAAAAAAATGAACAGAAGGAAGGAAGGAAGAAAAGAAAAGAAAGAAAAAGAAGGAAGAAAGATAACAGATTATCACATGAAGTGACGGATCATCATAAGAAATGATAGAAGATTCTGGGAGACCTGAAATGAGACAACTAGGCCCCATGATTATAATTTTCATTCTACATTGTACTGAGGATCTAAACATCATAGTAGAGCAGTAATAACATAATGAAAGATCTAAAGAGAGAAAAAAAACATCTTTTGAAGATGGTATAATTGTATAGGTAGAAAATCTAAAACATGTTACAGATAAGTTATTAAAATTAATAAAATAGTTTAACAATATTGCTAGATTAAAATCTATCTGAAAATAATTTAGAAAAGAAAATAAAATTAACAGTTTACAATAATACAAAAAAATGAAGTCTCTCAGTATAAATGTGCAAGATCTCTGTAAAGAAAATTATAAAAGTTTGAGAGATGTTAAAGAAAGCCTACATAATATAGTTGAATTGTTCTTTGCCTGGAAACCTCAGCCATGGTAAAGAAGTCATTTCTCCCCAAAGTGACCTATAGGCTTAATAGACTTCCAGTAAAAATCCCAGTAGTGTACCTGTTTATTATTTATTGCTGCATAACAAATTACCCCAAACCTTAGAGGCTGACAACAACATACATGTATTATCTCACAGTGTCTGTGTCAGGAATTCTGGAACAACTTAGATGAGTTCTCTTTTCAGGTTTTCTCGTGAGGCTGCAGCCAAAGTGTTGGCTGAGGTTGTGGTCTCATCTGAAGGCTCAACAGGGGAAAGTTCCACTTCCAAACTCTCTCCTCCTGTTAGCAGGACTCAGCTTCTCTCAGGCTGTTGGGCCGGCCAAGGACCTCACTGCTCAGTTTCTTGCCAATTCGGGCTCTCCATGAGGCATCTCACAACAGGACGGTTTGCTTCATCAGAATAAACACGAAAAGGAGCCAGAGAGAGAAAGTGCAAGCCAAGTAAGTCCCAGAGTCTTAGTCTTCACAGCCTAACCACAGAAGGAACATCACATCACCTCTCCTGTGTTCTGTTCATTAGAAACAAGTCACTAGGGGCAGCCTACACTAAAGAGGAGGATTCCCCATGGGCATGCTTAAATGCCAGGAGGTGCACGATTGCAAGCCATTTCAGCAGCAAACGACTGCGCTCCAGCCTGGGTAACAGAGCAAGACTCCACCTCAAAATCTGTGTGCGTGTCTGTGTGTGGGTGTGTCTGTGTGCACGTGTGTGTCTCTGTCTGTGTGTGCATGTTCATTGACTGTTTTAAAGAAGTCTATTCCTTAAATCATGTTTTTGGCAAATTGGTCATGTGGCACCTCGGCTTCAAGCCAGGGAGGTGGAGTCAGGACAAAGCCCCCAGGAAAAGAGAGGAAAGACACAATTGCAAAGTCCTTGGTGTGGCTTTGAACTCTGGACTGGCCTGACTGAGGCCCGCCACACCTCCTGACTTCTTCAGAACGTGAGTCAGTCCATTCCTGTTAAAGAGTTTGACCCAGGTTTGGTTGGGTTTCCTGTTACTGGCAAGTGAAAGCATCCTTACAATGTATTTTTCTGAATATTTCCAAATTCTGATCTTCCAACCCTTGGCTCCAGCCAAACCAGTCTACTCACCTTCCGCAAGTGCTCTTCGTGCTTTCCCATCACATGATCATTCTCTTGTGCTCCTCTCTTCAGCTCCTCTGCCTGTTCGGTGTTCCCCTGGCTCTCCAGAAAGGAGCCTCTCTGTTCCTGGAGCAGCCCCCGGAGGCTGCTATGGCCCTCCATGGCCCCTGCAGCACCCCCTAAACCTCCTGCAGCCTTCCATGGCCCCTGCCTTCTCTGCATAGCTGTCCAGCTTCTTTGGTCACTGGAATCAAAAACTCATGGAATTCTTTCGTAAGGCCAGTGGGGGCTGGGTGTGGTGACTCATACCTGTAATCCCAGCACTTTGGAAGCCCGAGGTAGGCGGATCACAAGGTCAAGAGATCAAGACCATCCTGGCCAACAAGGTGAAACCCCGTTTCTACTAAAAATACAAAAATTAGCTAGGTGTGGTGACACGCTGTAATCCCAGCTACTCCGGAGGCTGAGGCAGGAGAATCGCTTGAATCTGGGAGACAGAAGTTGCAATGAGCCGAGATTGTGCCATTGCACTCCAGCCTGGGCAACAAGAATGAAACTCGGTCTCAATAAATAAATGAAAAAGAAGGTGGAAAAATAAAAGAAGAAGGTGCATCTATGCATCCATCTTAAGCAGCTAGAGAAAGAAGAGCAAATTAAACACTGAGTACTAGGAGGAAGCAAATGATCGAGACAGCAGCAGAATTCAGTAGAATAGAAAATAAACCATGGAGGAAATCATGAAAACCAGAATTCGGTTCTCCGAAAAACATAATAGCATTGAGGAACTCCTTGCAGACATCGGCAAATGAAAAACTTCTGCTCATCAAAAGACACTGTTAAGAAAATAAATAACCAAGATAGACCAGGAAGAAAAAATCTGCCATACATGGATTTAACAAAGGTGTGTACGTAGATTAGACGGTGAATTTGTACAACCCAGTAATCAAAGAATAACCCAGTAAACGTATGGGCAGGATATTTAAACAGACACCCCCCAGAGGAGACATGAAGAGCCAGTAAGTGCACGGAAAAGCGCTTAACACAGAAAACATCAGAGAAATGGAAATAAAAACCACCCTCAGATAACAATGGACGCCCACAGGCCGTCCAAAACAAAACACAGACACAGAGCACCAGGGAGGGCAAATTCTACCACCTGGGGAAAATGGAAAATTTCTTTAAGAGCGGCAACTACCCTATGACCAGCAATTCCCATTTTTAGGCATTTACCCCAAGAAAAATAAAATATAACATACGCGCTCCAAAAGAGTGCTCATATCAGTTTTATTCATGACAGCCAGAGGCTGCGGACAGTCCCGGCGTCCAGCCACAGGAGGACGAGTACAGAAACGGTGTCCGTGTCCAGATGGCTTGGGAAGAAAGAAAAAGAATAAACAAACCGTGAGTCCTTTCCTGATGGTGGAGTACTACTCAGCAATGTAAAGGAACAAGGTACTGGTGCAGGCAGCAGCAAGGAAGATCTGAAATCCAGCGTGCTGAGTGAGGGAGCCAGACGCTGGAGAGCGCCGGAGTCACTCACGAGAGGTCAAGAACCAGCTAAACCATGTGACAGAACAAAGGAGAACAACTGTTCCTTCCTGGTGGCCAGGGGCGAGGGCTGCCGGCCAGGACAGGGCAAGAGGGAGCTTCTGAGGCCACAGAAACGTCCTCTGTCTTGGTAGGAGTGTGGGTTACTGGCCTGTGTCAAAACGGATCCAATGTGGTCAAGGTCCGTGTATTTCCCTGTTTGAAATGCTTTGTGAAAGCAAGACAGAATCCAACACAGAGCGTCTTCTTCCATTTATGCCCCACATTATCTGTACAGTACTCTGGTTTCTCTTCAGATCATGTAAGTCTTTTGCCTTTTTAAATACATTATACAAAAATAAAAAACAGGGCAAATTAAACACTGCTTAGGTACGGAGGGTGCTAACACTGTCAAGGAAAGCAAGGAAAGGCTGAGAGTGGGAAACGGGGCAGGGGCTGCCTTCTGCAGGAGGGAGGGGGCCTGCGGGGGGCTCGGGCTCCCAGCTCGTTCCAGTTCCTGACTTGGGTGTTGGCCACATGGGTGTTTGTTTTCAAACTATTCTTTAAGCTGTTCTGAGGTAAGGTGTTTTATAGACTTTTCTGTAATCCATCCAATATCCCAATTTTTAAAGAATGCTGGCCCGGTGAGGTGGCTCATACTGTAATCCCAGCACTTTGGGAGGCTGAGGCAGGAGGAGGATTGCTTGTGCCTGAATTTTCATAGAGAAGGGACTAGCCTTCTCTCTGGAAAATTAAAAAACTAGTCAGGCGTGGCTGTACTCACCTGTGGTCCCAGCTGTTGAGGAGGCTGAGGTGGGAGGATCACTTAAGCCCAGGAGGTTGAGGCTGCAGTGAGCCAAGATCGTGCCACTGCTCTGCAGACCGAGTGACAGAGACCCTGCCTCAAAAAAGAAAAAAGCTAACAAAATCAGAAACCTTCTCCTTAAGCAAAGAATCACCAGAAAAAAGGGAGCCTTGGAAACGGCCCTCAGGCTTCAACACTCCCACCAGGGCTGGAGGAGTGGCCCTTGGCTAAAGGGAGTGACTTCACTGCCCCATCCGCAGCAGAACTGACCCGACCTGTGTCCCAGCGGAAGCTCTAGTGACTTCACCGCACCGTCCACAGAACTGACCCCACCTATGCCCCAGCGGAAGATCTTTCTTTTTATATTTTGTAGAGATGAGGCCTTACTATGTTGCCCATTCTGGTTTCAAACTCCGGGGTTCAAGCGATCCACCCACCCCAGCCTCCCACCATGCTCAGATGACAGGTATGAGCCACCATGCCCTGCCCAGAACTCTTGCAACACAGAGAGGTTTATTACTATAAAGAATTACTTGCTGAAATCCACTAGAAATGAAACGCCAGACTCTAAAAGTAAGCACGATGCCATAGAGGAGAACAGAGAATGAGGCAGCCCCTGAGACGCGAGAGAAATGCTGGGGGCGAGACCGTGAAAGGCTGGCTCTCAGTGATGTGAGCTCACTCCCAGCTTTGCGCTCCCATTGCGTCCTGGGCTCCGGGCCGGGACCACACAGCTGGGCAGAGGCACCAGGCTGGTTTGGGAGCTTCAGGTTGTGCTCCAATTAAAGAGCAAATCCACTGGCTGGGGCGTGGAAAAGGAGGCCAGCTGTGGCTGAATGCCCGTGCGCAAACGCTCTTGCGACACCTCCCTCCGGCTCACCTGTGGCTCGGCTCTCCGGCTCTCTGCTGTGGCTTCAGCTCCAGGAAGGCTCTTTCCAGAGCCATCGGCCATCACGGCCCCAGGGACTCCCCACCGCCCAGAGGCCGTAGTGTGGAGGTGGGTCCTCTTCTATCAGGTTTCCACAAAAGTCAACACACATCCCCACACCCAAGCTGCTCAGACAGGGCGCAGGGAGTGTTTCCAAGAGAAAATTGGGCTGAGGCCACCAGAAGGCGGGGAAGCTTGCCAGCCAGGCATGACGCAGGTGTCCTCGCGGGGACGCACACGTGAGGGAGTGTGCACAGGCTCTGTGCCTGCCCCAAACCACGTGGAAATGGCTCTGGAGGACCCATTTTCTCAATGTGACTCCCTGCAGGTGACACAGATGAGAATCAGACAAATCAGCCACTTGGCCAGCTCCACAGCTCCCCACGGCCCCCACTAGGGACGCGCTGCAGGAAAATAAATGCAGGGGGCTAGAGAATGTAAGCGATGCGGCAGGGAGGGGGGCTTTCCGGTCTACGTAAGGAGGCCAGGTGACTCGGTAAGACGGCACTTGAGAGAAAATGAAGAGAGGGAGGCACGCAGGTGTCTAGAGGGAGAGCATTCCAAGTAGAGAGAACAGGAAACTCTAAGGCCCCAAGTGGCAGCGTCCTGCGTGTTGTCACGATGTTACAATTACCCGGTACAGCAGATGCTCTGGCATCACCACAACACACAGTGGGGGGCTGAGAAGTTCAGTGTAGTGACTGGATATCCCAGGCCGCCCCCAGGGCTGTGCTGAGCAGCTGAGCAGCTCGGCGGTGGGACTGGACCGCTGCATGGTCCCAGCCCGGCTACTGCCATTCTCAGCGTCTGCCTCCTCGCCCGCAGCACGAGCCCACGCCCGGTTCTCCCCACGTGAGCCCACGGCAGCTCCTCAGAGCCACGCCGTCCTGGGCTCGTGCGCCTCAAAGCACGGCTGCCTCCCTTCACTGCTCAGCGGCTAGAGCCCCGAGTCTGAACTTCACCCTCGACCCCAGCCTTTAGCCCATCTGATCTGTCGCCAAACCTAGTCCTCTGATCGCTTGAGCCCAGGAGTTCGAGACCAGCCTGGGCAACACAGTGAGACCTCCCTCTACAAAAAATAAACAGCCAGGCGTGGTGGCACACACCTGTGGGAGGTGGGAGGCTCGCTCGCGCTCTGGAGTTGGCAGCTGCAGTGAGCCGTGATCTTGCCACTGCACTCCAGCCTGGGCAACTCTTTTTGAGACTCTGTCTAAAAAAACAAAAACAAAATTAAAAAACCCTCCTGGGGCTTCCCAGCTCCATTGCTTCCCCTCATCCCCACCCGTGAGCCCCCAGCCCATCCTGTCCACACACGGACCTGGAGCTCCCACCCAGAAGGGCCTCCAGTCTTTCGCACTGCAGCAGATTCTCCTGGCTTTGCAGGACAGAAGCTCCCAGCTCTTCTTTTTTTTCACAACTAAAAATCAGCTTATTAAAATGGCTGACTTGAGTGTCTGCAACGGCGACTTCGGGCTGCATTCCCGGCTCAGTTCGGAAGAGCAAGTGTCTCAACAATCCTGGGGGGCCCGCAGGCCAGCGAGCGGCGTGCAGATTCCCACCCAGAAGCCACCCCCCTTGCGACCTTCTGCACACGACGTCTTCCTGCGGTGGTTCTCACAGTCCTGGCAGGCTCTGAACCGGCCCCCGCACGGTGAGATTCCTTTCCTCGGCACATCTCAGCGGGTCGGCTCACTTGTTCTCCAGGGCTTTTAAGTCTCAGCTGGTTAGGGTCATTCTGACTCAGTGACTCCCACCTCTGGTTCCACAAACCAGGATCTTTAAAAACCATGGCTGTGAGAAAAAAAAAAAAAAAAAGAGAGAAAAAGAAAATGACCCAAAGGGACATCACAAAATAGTAATAATCATATTTTTAAAAACGGAAATAAACCAGACGGCAGCGTAGGTCCTGGCTGGTCCTCGGCTCTGTCTGGAGCGGCTACAGCTGCGGACCTGCCGGCTTCCAGCCCTCCCTCCCCAGGACCAGGCCACCGTGCTGGACCCTTGCAGTCCCCAAAGCGATAGCCTGCCTCAGCAGCCTGTGGGGACCCCTGTACCGAGAGCCCGGTCCTTCCACTCCTCCGCCCAAGGCCACCCAGGCCACGCCATCAGGCCTCCTGCTCCGGCTGCAGCTGTGCTGTGCTGTGGCTGACCGTACCGCCCAGTGCCCCCGTGGGCCTCCAGGGCCCCTGTGTTGGCTATTCCTCTTCCCACGGTGGCCGCCTGACTTCCTGCCTCACTGCCTGCAAGCCTCTGCAGATGTCTCCTCTCAGACTCCCCTACCGGCATGGGCCAAACAGCAGACCTGAGCCTGCCCCTTTGTCCTTCCTGAATCAACCCGCTTCACAGGATGCAAGTTCATACCTGAAATGCTGTGCGTTCATCTCAGCCTCACCCACCCCAAACTGAACTGCAACATTCATGCCGAACGGACTCTGGTTTTGTTGCTCTTGTCCGCGCTGTGTCCCTAGAGCTGAGATCCCGACCCCCAGGCAGTGGACTGGTACCCACCCAGGGCTTGTTAGGAACCAGACCGCCCAGCAGGAGGTGAGTGACTGGCATGAAGGTGACGCTTCCTCTGTATTGACGGCTGCTCCACCTGGCTCATGTTACCACCTGAGCTCGTCTCCTGTGTGATGAAGGTGGCATCAGGATATCCACATCCCGTGTGATGAGCGGTGGCATCAGGAGCTCCGTCTCCCGTGTGATGAAGGGGGCATCAGGAGCTCCGCCTCCCATGTGATGAGCGGTGGCATCAGGAGCTCCGCCTCCCGTGTGATGAGCGGTGGCATCAGGAGCTCCGTCTCCCGTGTGATGAAGGGGGCATCAGGAGCTCCGCCTCCCATGTGATGAGCGGTGGCATCAGGAGCTCCGCCTCCCGTGTGATGAGCGGTGGCATCAGGTGCTCATAGGCGGTGAACCCTATTGTGAACCGTGCTTGCCAGGGATCCAGGCTGCGGCCTCCTTATAAGAATCTCATGCCTGATGATCTGGGGTGCAATAGTTTCATCCCCCAACCATCTCACCGCCCTGTCTTCTACCAAACAAGACCCTGGTGCCAAAAAGGTTGGGCTCCACCGCCCCAGAGCTTAGGAGGGCGCCTGGCACGTAGCAGGATTCCTGAAAATGCCCTGAGCAAAGGCTGCCCGGACTCCCACAAACACCTGGGGTGCTTGTCCATTTCCACGCTGGGCCACGCCTCAGCCCTCCGGAGAGCCTTCTAGAAACGCAAGCCCCCCAGCACTGCGTCTGCCGGGAACTTCCAGCGGTGTCTCCTCATCCTCTGGGTTGGTCCGGAATGCCTCCTGAGACCCCCACGCCCGCCCGGCACGTGCCGGTTCAGGGCCTCAAAGCCCGCTGCTCCCCACGGACTCCGGACCCGCCCCACGTTCCTCCCGCGTCGCGCCCTCGGCGTCTGGAGGGGTCCGCAGTGACTCCGGATGAAGCCGCTCGCGGCCGCTTTCGGTCTTGGGAAACGCGGCGCCGTTTCAGGGTCTTCAAGGGACAGGCGCTCCCCAGGCCGGGAGACCGGGGCGTTCCCAGGGGCCAGGAGACTCCACCGGCCCCGCCGCGCCCCCACCCCCGGGAGCCCCGCCCCCGCGCCCCCCTGGGGAGTCCCCGCCCCCGCGCCCTCCACCCACCCCCGGGAGTCCCCGCCCCCGCGCCCCCCTGGGGAGTCCCCGCCCCCGCGCCCCCCAGGAGGCCCCGCCCCCGCGCCCCCCTGGGGAGTCCCCGCCCCCGCGCCCCCCAGGAGGCCCCGCCCCCGCGCCCCCCTGGGGAGTCCCCGCCCCCGCGCCCTCCACCCACCCCCGGGAGTCCCCCGCCCCCGCCCCCGCGCCCGAGCCCCCGGAGGCCGCCATGTTTCCCGTGGACAGTTGAGGGTGCTTCTCTCCCGTGCGCTTCTGCGGAAGCTTCCGAGTGGCCCTGCGAATCAGCGGGTGCCGCGTTGACTGCTGGGGATCGTTCTCCTGACCGCATCCGCCACACCGTCCTTGCCGGTTCCCCTGCTGAAGGACCCCGGCCGCCTTCCCGCGCCCCGCCGCGCCCCAGGCCCCGCCCCCGTGCCGCGCCCCGCCCCCGTGCCGCGCGCCGCGCCCCGCCCCCGTGCCGCGCCCCGCCCCCGTGCCGCGCCCCGCCCCCGTGCCGCGCCCCGCCCCACCGCGCGCTCCCGCCGCTCTCCCGGTTCCCCGCCGTGGGCAGCAGGGGGCGCCGGCGAGCCGGGGCGCGGAGGCCGAGCGTCCAGCGCGCGTTTCAGAAGGGGGAGCCCGAGGAGCACCTGCTCGGAACGCATCCGGGAGGAACGGCATCAATCAGCTTATGCCAAATATGCGGGAACTTCGTTCGCTGTGACGATTTTGTTTTGAGACGGGTCTCCGTGTGTTGCTGGTCTTGAACTCCTAAGTTCAAGGGAGCCTCCCGCCGGCCTCCCGAAGTGCGGGGGTCGCAGGTGTGCGCCAGCAGGCCTGGCAGACAGATCTTAATTATCAGGGAGCTGGTTATTGCAGGGGGCGTGACCAGCGACCCAAGTATGGTGGGTGTCATCGCCGACAGAGGGGCCACGCGTGGGATGTGGTGAGGGACAGGACACGGAGCCGCAGGTGAGGCCCTCACGCCCCGCAGGTCTTACCGCTGCTGCCGACAGGGCTGCCCTGCTGCTTGGCTCCCATGGCCTCTCTCGCAGGGTGTGACCCCGATGCCGTCGCGCCAAGACCCCCTAACACATTCTCCCTGGTCCACTCTGCGGGGGATGTCCTTGGAGATTCCTGACTTGGGCCAAAGCACCCACCCTTCGCGTTCCTACAGCCTCCAGATCTCACCTGGGCCTGGGTCCCGGGTGTGGCTGTGTCCCTCCAGAGTGTCCTCTGCTGGAAGCCACTTTGGGCGCTGAACCAGAACGCAGCGTGGTGGGTGGGAGGGCATCAGACGCCGATAGGCTGGTTCCAGCGAGAATGGAGTGGCGTGGTTCACAGTGCAACTTCCAGTCATTGAAACCTTGTCTAAAATACAGAGTCCGGCCCCCTCTACAGTAATCCTGACGTCTGGGCTGGGACCTGGGAATTGGTCATTTGAACCTGCTGACCAGGCCATGTGCAGCGGGCTAGGAAGCTGCAGGTCTGGGCACCTGATGAGTGTGGGTTGGAGAGCGCAGGTGTGAGATCTTGAGCGACCAAAGGGTCCCATAAGGGGACGGGGAGCCTTTTCCCACCGAGGCCAGCGCCCAGCACTCACTGTCACTGGTGCCAGACACACTGCCCTTTGCTCTGGATCTTCATTCCCCAACACCTCTTCCACCCACCCCCCAGGTGATGAGCACATCCCGTGTGAGAACATCTCTCCCCCAGCCCTCCCAGGCCCTGAGCCTTGAGCTGTCCTGCATCCGTCCCTGTGCACCTGGGCAGCTCTGCAGTGCCTGCCTCTCCCGCACCTGGACTCACCCCACATGGCAGCCGTGAAGCCAGTGCCCACAGCACCGCCACGGCATCCATCAGAGACAGGAGGCCCAATGGGAGAGATGGAGGGGGGCCCAGTGTGACACTTTAATGACATTTTCTTTTTCAGCAGCAGCAGCATCTGAAAATGCCCTGCAAGTGTGGGTATCAAACCTGAGGCAGGACAGGTAGTCAAGGAAGTGACTATGTCCTCGGGACAGGGACCATGGTGACCATGCAGTCAACACATAAGTGTCAGCACTGGCACTGGAATTGAGCTCATTCGAGCAGAGCCATCTTCAGTAGGGACTTTCCCTAGAGACGGCACGCACACTGTGAGCTTACCTGCCTGCAGACTGACCCCAAACCGACCGGGCAGGGTGGTTCACACCTGTAATCCCAGCACTTTGGCAGGCCGAGGCGGGGGGATCATGAGTTCAGGAGCTCAAGACCAGCCTGATGAACGTGGTGAAACCCCATCTCTGCTAAAAATACAAAAAAATTGCCAGGTTTGGTGGCACATGCCTGTAATCCCAGCTACTCAGGAGGCTGAGGCAGGAGAATCACTTGAACCCAGGAGGTGGAGGTTGCAGTGAGCCGAGATCGTGCCACTGCCCTCCAGCCTGAGTGACACAGCGCGACTCTGTCTCAAAAGAAAAGTGGAAGCACAGCTTCGACTCCCTATAATTTCATCCCTAAGCCAACCAATCAGCATCCCCGACTCACGAGCCCCCTTCCCACCAAATTGTCCTTAAAAACTCTGATCCCTGAGTCTGGGGGGACTGATTTGACTAATAATAGAACTCCTGTCTCCCGCACAGCTGGCTCTATGTAAATTACTCTTGACAAATCAGCTCTGTCTAGGCACTGGGCAAGGTGACACCGCTGGGAGGTTACGGTGGGTGTCACAAGAAAGCAGTCCCAATCCAGACTCCAAGAGAGGGTTCGTGGATCTTTCAGGGCAAGTCCACAATGCAAAGCAAAAGCAAGTCTATTAACAAAGTGAGGACTAAGCTCTGATTTTTTTATCTTACCCAAATTCCTGTCTAAGCGCTCTGGGGAGTCAAGCCCTACAAACCACAAATTCTCATCAGATGGATTTAATTTAGCTCTGTATACTGTGGCTTACTTTCCAACCTGACTCTAGCATAATTTTATGAGACAAGGAAGAAAATCAAAATATTTCACCCCAAAACACATTTCTCTGCCATATGTTGAAATGGCCCTGCAAAGCTGTCCTTGTGGGGAAAAATCCACATCTGCAAAGAATCTCTAGTAACATAGCTAGACCTTTTTCTTCCAGGCCTCCCAATCCTGAAGAGATTGAGAGTCTATCACCTTTCAAACATCTGAACAGGAAACCCTTGTCATCTGCTGTCTCTAAGGGCAGCCAGTGTAAGACTCCGAAAGAGCCTTGGGCTCCACAGTCTTTTATCTTAACCGGAACATTTCCTTCCTGCTGATCTCAGGACTTTAGACAAACTCAACCAACTGTCAACCAGAACATGTTTAAATTTACTGACAGTCTGGAAGCCCCGCCCCCACTTTGTGTTGTCCCGCCTTTCTGGACCCAATCAATGTATTTCTTAAATGTATTTGATTGATGTCTCATTTCTCCCTAGAAGGTATAAAACGAAGCTGCACCCCGACCACCTTGGGCACCTGTTCTCAGGACCGGCTGAGGCTGTGCCATGGGCCATGGTCACTCATATTTGGGTCAGAATAAATCTCTTCAAATATTTTGTAGAGTTTGACTCTTTTCATTGACAAAAGTAAAGAGGTGAAGGAACAGCGACTCCGTAGACAGGGTAGGGCCTTCCCAAAAGTAAGAGGAGGAACACGTCCATCCCAGACATAATACTTGTTTTATATACCCCAGGTATAACACTTGTTTATATACAGGCTAAAAAAAAGACCACAGGGAGATGTACTCTGCTACGAGGGTTTGTGACAAAGGGTTTTCTTTCTTTTTTTTTTTGAGACGGAGTGTCGCTCTTGTTACCCAGGCTGGAGTGCAATGGCGCGATCTCGGCTCACCGCAACCTCCGCCTCCTGGGTTCAGGCAATTCTCCTGCCTCAGCCTCCTGAGTAGCTGGGATTACAGGCACGCGCCACCATGCCCAGCTACTTTTTTGTATTTTTAGTAGAGACGGGGTTTCACCATGTTGGCCAGGATGGTCTCGATCTCTTGAGCTCATGATCCACCCGCCTCGGCCTCCCAAAGTGCTGGGATTACAGGCTTGAGCCACCGCACCCGGCCCAACAAAGGGTTTTCTTAATTACTATCTCTTGCAAGAATCATCTTTAAAGCAAAATTAGGAATGCTTCTGTTCAAGATATCAGGATATCAGGACACGCCTATTTGTGGGTCTGTTTAGTAAATGTGATCAATCTGTTCCCTTCACCTCAAATATCTAGAGGCTAGGAATACCTCACTTTCTGGGAATGCAGCCCAGCAAGCCTCAGCCACATTTTCCAGCCCTCACTCAAGGTGGAGATGCTCTGGTTTGAAGCCGTCTAACATGAGGAGCCCCCTCCCCAGAGAATGAGGCTCGGAAATGGGAACTGTAGCCTCACACTGCCACCCTCGGCCTCTGCCTCCCTGGAGCTCGGGAGGGCCCAGGGCAGACTATCACGGGGCCTCCAGCGTCCCAGTGTGACCACCCACGGGGTCCACCTTGCCTGCTGCTTGCATCAAGACAAGGGAATTGCAACAGAGAAAGTCATTCACGCAGAGCTGGCTGTGTGGGAGAACAGAGTTTTACAATTACTCAAAAATCAGCCTCCCAAGGCATTCAGAGAGCAGAGTTTTTAAGGACAACTTGGTGGGTGGGGGGGAAGCCAGTGAGTCAGGAGTGCTGATTGGTCAGAGATGAAGTCATAGGGAGTCGAAGCTGTCATTTTGTGCTGAGTCTGTTCCTGGGTGGGGGCCACAAGATCAGATGAGCCACTTTATGGATCTGAGTGGTGCCAGCTGACCCATCAAGTGCAGGGGCTGCAAAATATCTCAAGCACTGATCTTAGGAGCAGTTTAGGGAGGGTTGGAATCTTGTAGCCTCCTGCGGCGAGACTCCTAAACCATCATTTCTAATCTTGTGGCTAATGTTAGTCCTACAAAGTCAATCTAGTCCCCAGGCAAGATGGAAGTCTGCTTGGGAAA